GGGACCGGCAAAGGTCCTCAAGACGGGAATCGAACTCGGGTCGCACAGCTGTTTATGTCGCACGCTAACCACAAGGCTATTGGCGCAGACAGAATGCACTTTTCACGCGGCAGCACGCAATTCGTCACACGTGATCGTGGAGTTCCCTGTAGGCGCTTTTTCAGATTTTTTCAAAACATTGTTGTGCTTCACACAATTTCCACCATGTTGCGCAAGGAATAACATTCTGCAGTTAAACACCCAGGCAAGATCTACTACAGCATTCTATTGCCACGCTAAATAAAATAAAATAAAATAAATCTAAGATTACGAGATTAAAGTCATAATATTTTGGGAATAAAATCAAAATTACGAGAATATAATCGTAGCCATATTGAGAATGAAGTCATACTAATTTGAGAATAAAGGCCTAGCATTATGAGATTAAAGAAATAAAGAAAAAAAACAAAGTCGCAGCAATATGAGATTTAAGTCATTGTATCTGTAGGTTTTACAGCATCAAAGTGTGAGTGTTTCTATGACAAATATTACTTACCAATAACTAAACAAGCTACAAAACATGCATCATAGTAGCTAAGTCCCTAAAAGAGCACAGCGCCTGTCCTCTTGGTAAGTGGGCACCTAGTGGGAATAAACGTCTATGTTTACCAAATTTTTTGCTGTTACATAAACTAAAAGCTTTATGAGTCAGGAGAACTTGTTCCTCCACCTGCTCCTCAAAGCTCCTGACGGCACTGTTTGTCTCCCTCCACGCAGCCATTTAAATAGTCTAAGACAGGAACAGCTGCTTGAAGAAGGAACCTCATTCATTACAGTAGACTGAGGCCAGAAAATGCAAAATGCTGCGTCTTTAATTTTATACTCCCTTTGGTCCTCGTTCGCCTCGAGTCAACAACTTTGAATAGGTCTTCATTTTAAAATTGAGAAACCTCCTCTGCATATTCTATTATTAACCACTACCACATTAACTCTATGGACAAAATCCACATTAAACACCACAATAAATGACTTGACGTCGCATTTCCTATTGAAACAAGTAGTTTGGGCAGGACACACTAAAGGGGAACATATTTTTGATCAATTTTCCAGGAAGAGGTGCACATATATTGAAACTTCAATTGCGATAAGCTGATAATTATATTGCGGTTATGGTTAATAGTGAAATCTATAAATATAATTCTTATTCGGTTTATAACTACAATTCTTATTCTAATAGTACTACTGTAATAATTATTATAACAATTCTACACTATTTTTGTAAATAAATAATAAATAATATATATATAGCCATATCACCCTGCAGCCTAAGACTGGTTGCCCACTGAAGCTAAGCAGGGTTGAGCCTGGTCAGTACCTGGATGTGAGACCTCTTGGGAAAACTAGGTTGCTGCTGGAAGAGGTGTTAGCGAGACCAGCAGGGGGTGCTCATCCTGTGGTCTGCATGGGTCCTAATGCCCCAGTTATAGTGATTTATAAAATCCTCAAAGCTCAGAAGAGCTGAAGAGTTCAAGAGGTGATTTCATTGATTTCAGATGTAAAAACTAAAATTTCTAAAAATGTAGCTTAGTCTGGTAGCCATTAGAAAGAGGTATTCTTCCACAGAGGACGGATGCCCTTGGTGAACAGTATAAAAGTCAGATCCACTCTCTCAAAAGCAGCAAAGAGCACAGGAAAGGTCTGATGCCTTTCGGCTACAGCACTTGAACAGTTTCACTCTGTCACATTGCACAGCTAATCTGGTGCCAATTCCCTGAACTCTATCACACCCTGCCACTCCAAGGCCCTGCAGACAGCCGTCCATCAACCTCTTGGCATTCTGGGACAACACAAGGTAGACACGCTGGCTCCATTCGAGGTGGCGGTACTCAGAATTGCCAATAAAGACAGTGCTGTGGCCATTTGTAATGCAGCGGGGAGTTCAGCAGTGTGTTATATAAGAATCACCTGTCGGTATTAAGCACAGGTAGGTGATATCGGGTTTGCTTCAAGCTATTCTAGATCTAGAATACTCACTACATAAAAACAGCGCAAATACATAAAACTGAACATACTGTGTCCCAAAAATTATAAAAATGTCTTTACATTTGATTAAGAAACAAAATATTAAACAAACTGATATTTATTTGAAAGAAAAAAACTAGAAGCACATCTTTTAGGCAACATTTCTTAAAAAGGTATTTAGGTTTTTAAATGATAAAACAACAGATGTACTGTTCAAAATAAAGACAAAGCTTATTTTGACATTTAAGCTACAATTAATGTATGAATGTAATTGGATTGGATTAGGCAACTAAATATCAAACCAAGTTTTTTGAGCAACACACACACACACACACACACACACACACACACACATATATACAGTATATATATTGTATGAAAGTCATTGCATTAAATTGGGCAACAAAACTATTATAGCATAATAATATTTATTTGAAAGAACAATTGCACAAGCACACTTTTTAAGCAAAATATTTATAAAAGAAGGTTGGATTAAAGTTTTAATTTTTTTGAAGTTGTAAATATAACAAATATTATTGGTGTACATTTTACAATAAAATACTATTTCAGCTTTTCTACTTCAAAATGTCATGTTTAATTCAGTGTTACTTGCTGTCTCTTTTTGAAATGTATTTAGTGAAAATTCTTACAACACTTTTTCTTTGTGCATTGTTCAAAATAGCAACAATAATAATAATATAATTTGGTCACTTAAGCAACACTTAAAAACGTTATTGCATAGACATACTGTAGATTAGATTTAGTAACAAAATATCAAGCCAAGTGATATTTATTTGAAAGAAAGACAAACACACTTAAGAATAAAAAAATTTTTCAAATGATTTTTTAGGTTTTAAATGATAAAAAAAAAACATTGTTCAAAATGAAAACCAAACACAAGCTATTTGGACACTTCAACACCTGTGTGAATTTGAGGAGGAATGACTTCATACATCCACTTAAAATCACTGTGGCTCCAGTTAAAAGTACATGCTATTAAATAGCAATTTAGAAAGTTAATTCTGAGAAAAGCAGCATTTGTTTACAGATGCCACTTAATGAAATGACATTCAGACATGTTAAGTGTCACTCGAGTGTCCGAATACCTTTTGAGGGTCACTGTATATACACACACACTCTGTCACAACCCAAAGGGGCACCTCTGTGTGTGTGTGTTCTGGTGACAGCTGTTGGATCCGGGGAGCGAGTGTGCTAAGCTGAACGATGAGGTGAGACATGGATGTATTGCACCTAACGAGCAAACTTTCCAGCATTGTCAGAGGGCATGGCACAGGCAAACGGACAATGTGTATGCATGCGCATGGCAACCAGGCATTTACACGCCATAAACACTCTGTAAACGCAGTACGGTGGACAAGGTCACCAGAGAGGACTAACCTCCTCAATTAACCTCCTCCTCTTCCAAAAAGGACAGTACGTCTACCGAGCCGAACGGCACACACGATGTCCCGTTGCATTGGGATTATGGTAGTGAGAAGAACTAACACGCTAACTAATGCACATTCAGAAAGATCTGAGGAACTATGAGATGAAGGAATTGCTTAAAATAATTGGTTTATGCTTGATTAGTCCTGGTTTAGACGCACAGCTGTAGTGTTCACCAGCAAAACCTCTTCAAAAAGTCTTTTTGATGAAGCTGAATCATGGACATCATTTTATAACAACAACCCTCAAACTTTGGCATCTAGTGTGCATTTTAAAGACTTTTTAGACATTGGCTTGGTTTTGGTCAAGTGGCGGTCATCCAGACTTCGCCAAAAACAGTTTGGCATTGGCTGGAGGCTCCGTTGAAATCAGATGCCATCATAATGCCCTCTCCATTCCTCATGTCCTCTTCAAGCTCTTAGAGCTTCCCTGACTAGTGAACAGAGCTCCTTATAAGGAAGAGAACTCGGGATGTTTTTATCTCAAAATAGAACTCAAACAATGAGGAAAAAAAGTTCAAATATGCAAGAAAGTTCACAGAGCCCCCTGAGGATGCACTTAAACCACAGTTCGAAGATGATTATAGTCTATTAGGACATAGGTATCACCTTCTCAATGGAACCAGTCATTTAGCACATGCTGTCCTGGCCGCAACATCAAGAGAATATTTGTATTAATCCACCAGTGAGACTGAGAGCTGCCGGATACAGTTACAGAGTAAATTCAACCAGGGCTGAACGGTTCAGTAATGGGGAGATGCATGCAAAAGCAAGGAAAACAATATATTAAGCACAAGTACTGTTTGCAAATATTTCTGTTTTGCTTGTTTAGATTCTCACAAGCCTACTTGGCACATGCAGCAGGGAAAAGCTTAGCAAAATGTGTCACCTTAATATAAATGCACAATTTTTATCATGAGACAATAAATTTAGGCAAGGCCCATAATATACATGTAAGTAAGAGATGCACATGAAAAAAAAAAAGATAAAAAACGATTTAAAGAATATTAAAAAAATTATTAAAAGATATTTAAAGTTAAAAGCGTTTTCTCAGGGGAAAGTTAATTTTATAAATTTTTATCCATGCAAACTTAATGTCCATTCAAATGTAAGTAGGATTATAGTAAATAAAATGAATCAATACATTAAATAAGTTTATTTCATTTTTTTATTTAGTTTAGACCTTCATTTGCCCTCAGTGTAAAATCTGACAAACAAAACAAATATAATAAAAATAAATACAGCAATAATATCAATACTCTATCAAATAATAAATATATACATTTTATATATATATATATATCTGTATACTGTATATAAATTTAATATATTATTTTAAACCTGGATACATTTATTTGAATTTTGCTTCCAATTAAATATTTAATAAAGATTTAATATTTAATAAATAAATAATCGTATAAATACTGCCCATTAAAACCTCATTTTGGTATGCTGCACTTATGTAAGGATAAAAGCTTGTAAATCTACTTCCAAATAAAAAATGAGAGAAAGAAAGCGAGAGCTCAGACCCCTCCTACGCATCTCTTTTCTTTTCTCTCTCCTCCTCTACTCCACCCCTCCACTTTTTCTGCCATAAACTTTCGAACTCCACATTGCTGCCACAGACCCTCCTTTCCTCTAAAACCAGAGCAACAGGATTGAATCCCAATACTCTCCATCTACAGATTTAGGTAGGTAACATTTTCTTGTATATCAGTTTCAAGATGGCCCACAATGTTTGTCTAGTCGTCCTTGACAGTTACCACATTTGACTATTGTGTCTAGTGCTGTTTGATGAGCATCTCTTCATAAACATAGCATTCTTAGGATGCCGTGTCAAGTTAAAAACAGTTTGACTTTTAAAAATGCACCTGTGGAAAAAAAGAGAATGGAGTCAGTTGAATCCAAAACCAGCCTAAATTCAAAGGTCTTTATTAATATTAATTAGTTGACGAGGCTATTTACCATTGAACGCTCCGTGCATACGCATTTCCACAAGCAACAATGCAGTTAATATATTTTTGTGATAAATAATCAGATGGTTATTCAACAGTTACCCTTTGTATTTTATATTCATAACTTTACACAGCAGTGGACGACGTGTCTGAATGCACAGAGTCAGAGATTAATCAGAGTTTTGATGTTTGGGTCTGCGCCGCTCTGTGTACTCATGATAAACAGCGAGCCAGACTCATTCTTCTCCCGACACAAATCGGGGAGACGTGACCTAGATTGACTCCGACCTATACACAACACCCCACATTTACACTCCGCTGGGAGCTCTGACAGCCCTTCATTTCAGCACAAATGAGCTCGCTGCATTCACTGCGGCCCTGCAGAGGAGGAAAGGTTAACTGCATATAACACCAAAAAAAGACCATAAAAAAGTTTAAGTATTTAAAAAAAAAAAAAACGTATTTTATGTCAGTATAAAATATAACTTATTATATTTTGCCCAGGCAACATTTCCCATAGTCATTTGTGACCCTGGACCACAAAACCAGTCATAAGGGTAAATTTTTTGAAATTGAGATTTATACATCATCTGAAAGTTGAATAAATAAGCTTGGATAGTTAGGATAGGACAATATTTGGCCGAGATATTGAGAAAATCTCCTTTAAAGTTGTCCAAATGAAGTCCTTAGCAATGCATATTACTAATCAAAACTGAAGTTTTGATATATTTACGGTAGGAAATTAACAACATATCTTCATGAAACATGATCTTTACATAATATTCTAATGATTTTTGGCATTAAAGAAAAATCTATAATTTTGACCCATACAATGTATTTTTGGCTATTGCTACAAATATACCCCAGCAACTTAAGACTGGTTTTGTGCTCCAGGGTCACATATATAATATCACCAAACATTATATATACTTTTTTATAATTTATTTTATAGATGTATATTATTTTCATAAAAATTTTTAAAATGATATTTTATCAGAAAAGATTCTCAATTTTATATAATTTATATTACATATATAATGCTCATGCTATCTTTTATTGCATTAAAATAATATACATGTATATATATATATATATACATATTAAAATAAGTTTAATATGTTTTTTTATAAGTTTATGAAATTGAACTTGATTTTGTAAAGTCAGTTTAATGTAATTTAAGTTAAGTTTTGCACAACCAAGTTAATTATATAAACTATAAAAGTTTAAGGCTGCAGATGAACTTACGTTTTTAAGTTGAAAGTTTTTTCAAAACTGTACTGCAAATGAAACTGCAGTAAATGTGAAATTCTCTCAGTGAGAGAATGAATCTGCTGTATGACTTTTAAACTGATTTGCTTCACTTTTGTCCAGTATTGCATCTCTACAACACTAGTTTCAGACTTTCCACTTCTTCACTAACTGAACTGTAAGAAATTATATCATTAATACTATATCTAAAAGATCTGAAGCTTCAAAGCAATAAAGTGAAATATTAAATATCAATACATGACTCTATCAGCACAGCCCTAGAGTGCATGGCCAAAAATGTCTGTCCTAAAGCCAGTTCAACAGGCACTGTCCTACCTGTTAAGAGTCATGCTCTCAGAGGCGTCACCAAGCCACAAAAACCCCCCACTGCATTGCTCCACAATGCCATCATGGAAAGTTCAGCATTGAGGCCAACTGAGTGCACTCGCTCTGCCTCACGTCGACTTATTTGTACAGCAGAGAGTAAAAAATATGCACATAAGCATGCACAGGCTTGGGAAATCTCCGAGCCAGCCTTTCAGATGATTTCCTTCTTCGGTGCGATTCCATCTTATTTTTGCTCCGCTTGTTTTATTTTTTCACAACTTTCTTGGCTCTCTCTGTGCATTTCAGTGCAGACGAGTTGACATTTTTTGCCAAAGGATGACTTGAGAGAGTTGAATAGCCATACGAGGAAGGGTCTCTTAAACATATGACCTGCTCGATACCCTCCTAAGGAGATTGTTAATGATTGTATCATTCCCAGCGGTAAATGCGGACAGGACTCCTGACTAGCTAACTAGGGTGCTGGAATTCTGGTGCCCTGTGGTGTTGACAAACATCTCTCCAAAGCCTGTCGTTACCAGCAGCGGGTTTATCTCCTCTGTGTCACGTGCGGCCTGCGTTGGGCGCCTGAATGGACTGCTCCACTCCAGGCTTCACTGTCAGTCACTCGTACACTTAACGTCTTTGTTCAGTGACACCGGTCAGCTGGACGCAAGAATCACTATGAAAACAAGCGGTGGGGAAGTGTAGGTTGTACTTTTCTGTAGCTTAGTGTCAATCATTCCGCTGACAAAACATTGAAAACATGGCTTTTCATGTTGAGATGAGACTCTTAAGACTTATACTGCGTAAAATACACAATGCAAACCCTCCAATTATTAACATTTCAAACAAACCATTTTCCTAAGACTTTTCAGGTGTTTTTCCTTCAATCATTAAACAAAAACAGCCAACTCTAGTAGGGATGTCCAAAATCACATAATTTAAATAGTGTCGTCTTGGTGAGTTGTTTGAACAACTAGTTGACCGGTCTTAAAGAAGCTCTGTATACAGGTTTCCCAAACTTTCTGACCAATAAATTGCTAGGATTCATGATTTTTACCACAAATTTTCCAGTTGTTTGTAGGGCTGGGACAATAAATCGATGCATTGCGATTCGTGGATCGATTCTGAGATTTTCGGAATGCATCGTGATTCTCTCTCGAATCGATTCTGAGCTTAGTTTTTAACAGCAGCAGATGGCGCTCTAGGCTAGTTTTTAGCCGCACACTCAAATGCTCATGAAGAAGAGCGCTTGTGCGTTCGGCTGAGTAATGTAAGTGATTAAATGTACTTGAACGACGGCTTTTATGATGCGATATTAATGTAAACACAGCCCACTGTGAACATCCTTGTAATTCGCTTCAACCTTTTCGAACTTTATGAATGATTATTTTGGGTTCAAGTGGTGCGTGTGTAAGAAACTGGAAGCAAGCAGAATACGGCTATTTCTAAAGCACGCAGTGCCATCTGCTGTTAAAAACTAAGCTCAGAATCGATTCACGAAAGAATCGCGATGCCTTCGGAAAATCTCAGAATCGATGCAGAATCATTTCTCGATTCGCGATGCATCGATTTATTATCCCAGCCCTAGTTGTTTTTTGATGAGGATTTTTAAAAATCATTGCATAAAGATCGCAAAAAAAGTTACAAAGTAATTTCTAGTAAAATAATTAAAACTAGGGGTGGGCAATATACAATAGACACGATTAATCGGTAGGAATTTGTCAACCGTGGAATTTGCGGTTTTAAGCATTGCGGTTTAAAAACAAGTGATTTTAAGCCGTTGAAACACAATCAGCAGCGAAAGAGAACTCATTTCGCTATATGCGCGCACTAAAAAGAAAAATATTGACTATACAAATTGCCACCACTTTGTTTTTCCATGACCATTTAGGATTTTATCAGTTATATTCATTCTTCCAGTCCTGATATTCACACTTTTGGAGGTGTTTAATTAGGCTGGGTTTGGCTGTACGTGACTCCAGCTGGGTGTATTTTTTTAGGGGTCATATACAAGATGGATTGTTGTGTTGTAAGACAAGTTTTAATTTGACTTCAAATGTAAATCAACTTAAAAACCCAATGTTCATGGTGTGAGGTGTTCAAAACAACACAAAGTAAACAGTTAAAAAGCCGCACACTGAAAGCACGTCAATTGATGTAGCTGCTAAAAATATCAATAGAAAAAAGAAAATGCAAAATCCAAAACTAGTCAACCTGACTAACATATTAGTCAGTTGTTGTAGTTAACAACAGTGACCCATCCCTAATTTAAAGTGGAACAGACTAAAACAAGAAATACACCATTTTCCTGTCAAGAAGCCATTTAAACAACACAAATTGTGTTAATGCATAAATTGTTGAACATACCATGCACGCCATTAAAGGCCTGTTTTATGTCTTTACAAGTTGTTGCAAAGGAACAGGTTTCTGTCAAGCACGATCAGACAGGTCACTACCAAAACAACCAATCCTACACATCCTGTTTCCCATTAGGCTAAAGTAGTCACAGCCTACATATCCTACAACAACAACATCATCCCAGGCCTTCATGACTCTCTTGGTGATAAGTTGTACTTGGTAAAATAGAGTCCGGCTCCTGAGGGATTCTGGGTAAGTCCTGGCCACGGTTTCAGTGGAATATTGCGACCGTCAAAGGTCATTCCTAAGAATAACCTTACTGCGGGCGAAGCAGATAACGCAACACAGCGGCCAATGAGAACACAGGCCACAGGCGCTTCTGCGTCCACGATGCTGCCGAACGCATCCGTAAGACAGAACTCCCTACAGATCTGAGGAGACAGGAATGAGCAGCAGTCTGAAAGAGCGAGATAAGCTCTTCTAAGACAAGAGCTCCGCTAATACGCAAAGATTTATAATCAAGGCCACTTTATCTTTCAGTGAAAACAGGGCTTCATCTAATCTTTCTGGAGGCGAAGTGCTAAATCCTGATTTAGGCTGTTTTGTACACATGTAAAATCATCAATATAAAACGTCTTTCTGAAACCACCTCAAAGACAGTTATATAAAGACACAATATGTGCTGCTGAAGTCTCATCTAGCAATCGTTCAATAATAATAGGTTAATGACGTTGCACTCAAAGTATGATAGACCAAGGCTTTGTACAAGTGCATCTAAGCAAGAATAAGACTGTAAAATCCACTCTGAAAGAAGAACCCAGACGAACCGAGACCCCTGGGGTTTTAATTTTAGGAACCTGTCAAGCATCTTTCTTTTAGGTGACACATCTGAAACTTAACGATTTAGGGCATAGACATGCTCTGTTTGAGACTAAAAGCCATTTCATCTGACTTGCATCAAAGTTGGCAAATGCATTGAATGCTATAAAGAGTCAGTGAAAGTGTGCGCCGTTCAAACTACTTCAACTTTGACCTCTGACCTTTTAAAGCACAGCTGATGATCAATGGAAAAGTCTCACAGTGTACACTATTGTTCAAATATTCGGGGTCAGTAAGATTTCGTTTTTTTTTTTTAAAGAAATGCATTGCTTTATTCAGCAAAAATGCATTACATTGAAATAAATCAAATCAAAAGACCATGAAGACAATTATAATGTTATAAAAGATTTCTATTTCAAATAAATGCTGTTCATTTCTATTCATCAAAGTACACTGAAATAAATACAGAATGACCGTTTCTACAAAAATATTAAGCAGCACAACTGTTTTCAACATTGACAAAGTGCATTAAAATTTTTTTTAAATTGTAATAATGTCACAATATTATTGCTTTTACTGTATTTTTAATATTCACCAAATTCAGACTTGTTAAGCATAAGAGACTTCTTTCATTAAAAAAATCCTACTGACCCCAAAGTTTTGAATAGTAGTGTATACAACAATTTAGTCTCAGTACAATACAACAAGCAATGATTAAAAATATGTTTTTATTGACTTTTTATTAACTTATAAGTTGAACTTATAATTTAAAATTTATGAAGAGATCTTGACGTTAATGCACCATAATTCAGTCTATTTCTTTGTAGTCATAGTACCATCATTCTTTAACTAAAATTTTGTGAATCTTTTTGTGATGCATTGAAACAATCAACGTTTTTCCTGTTCCAAGTTCAAATCTGTACGTTCACACTGTATAAACCTGACAATTTCTTGCTACATCGTAAAAACATGTGAAAGTCCAAGTGGCCTTTTACATTTCTATAATGCTAATCATGTGAAATTACCTTTAAAGTGATAGTTCACCCCAAAAAAAAAAAAAGGCAGACAGAGCTGGGTTACTTTTTACATTCATTTACAAATTGTAATCCGTTACTGATTCCAAATTACATGGCAAAAATTGTAGTTAGTAACGTAATCCATTACATTGCACATTTTAGGTAATATAATCAGACTACTTTTAGATTACTTTTGAATTTGATTATGGAATTCAGATTACATGTAATCAGTTACTTTACCCATTCTACAGAACACAAAATAAGATATTCAGAGGTCCGTGTTATTTGGACCCCAATGTTCTTCAAAATATCTTCTCTTGTGTTCTGCAGAGGAAGTCAGTCATACAGGTTTGGAATGACATGAAGGTGAATAAATGATGATAGATCTTTCATTTTTGGACGAACTATCGCTTGAAGGACGCTATATGGTGTCAAAATCTTCTGAAACATCTACCAAACCTGCATGACACGTGTGAATCTGCATGCACATTCACTCTTTCATCTCCTGCTCCTTTCCCTCAGCCAGCCGAATCACATCCTCCATCACCACAACAACCAGCACTGCTTCCTCCTCACGCGGCTCTCCACTCCACCTCGCGGTACTGCCGTCCTTCTTCCTCTCTCCTCCGCACTAATCCGTCCCACCCACCCCTCCTCGACATGGAGAAGGTGCAGCACATCACGCGGGCGGCCATTCGGCGGGCGTCCACCATGGAGATTCCCCAGCAGGCCAAGCAAAACATGCAGGAGCTCTTCATCAACTTCTGCCTCATCCTCATCTGCCTGCTGCTCATCTACATCATTGTCTTGCTAATGTGAGCGGGAGGGGCCACAGGTTTCCCTCTAGCCAATGAGGGCGAAGGACTGTACATAGGGGCCAATCGTGTCGTAACTAGACAGTCAGATGATTAAAATGCCAATATATTTGATAATGTCACACACAATTTAATTATATAATTTAATTTAATTTGGGCCAAATGCTAAGGCAGCATGACATGTATCCTAAGCAGAAAAGCCAAATTGTGCCATTTTGAAAAGTAAATCCAAGACAGCGGACGAGGCAAAATTAATAAAGTAAATATAAATACTGAGTATAATTAAACACATATTTAATTTAATACTGACAAAAATAGTTACATTGCTGTTCAAAAGTCCGGGGTTAGTAAGTTCTGTTTCTATTTTTATAAAGAAATGAAAACGTCTGTTCAGCATAGATGCAATAAATTGATCAAAAGTGACAGTAAAGACATTTATCATGCTAGAAAAAATCTGTTCTTATAACCTTCAATTTGTCAAAAAACTAAGAACTGAGAAAAATGTATTGCAGTTTCCACAAAAAATATTAAGCAGCACAACTGTTGAACATTGATAATATTAATGTTTCTTGAGCAGCAAATAAGAATATTAGAAGGATCATGTGACACTGAAGACTGGAGTAATGACGCTGAAAATTCAGCTTTGTGTCACAGGAATAAAATACATTTTAAATTATACTAACATAGAAAACTGTTATTTTTAATTATAATACTATTTTCCATTACTAGTGTTCTTACTGTATTTTTTATCAAATAAATGCAGCTTTAGTGATCATAAGAAGCTTTAAATCTGACCCCAAACTTTTGTACAATAGTGTACAATTGATTTAACAGCACAATTGATTAGAAATGAGTTAAATCAGCTTGCAACTAAAACAGGATTGGAGCTCCATTTTCTGGGGCGATTTAAAGAACTGACAAGCCTTCACTGTGAACTTATGCTGCATGCAAGTGTCTCTCCATGTGTCTGTCACTATCCCCAGTATCCCGTCACTGCATGTCACCTGTGAGCCACGTCTTCTGTTACACACTGTGCCAAACTGAAAAACACTTGCTCAATAAAAACATTACATGATCACTTGTGTGCAATAAAAAGTGTGCCGTTTCTGTTTTTGACTGATACTCCCACTGTACTAATTCAGTTCAATGATCCAAGCCAGTATTTCATTGATAAAGTCACAGGAAGCTGGTTTACTAACACTTAAAGGGATAGTTCCCCCCAAAATTACCCCCAGGGCATCCAAGATGTAGGTGACTTTGTTTCTTCAGTAGAACACAAACGAAGATTTTTTAACTCAAACCGATGCAGTCTATCAGTCTTATAATGGCAGTCAATGGGCTCCACGGCTTCGAGAGTAAAAAAAACATACACGGACAAAACCAAATTAAACCCTGCGGCTCGTGACGATACATTGAGGTCTTAAGACACAAAACGATCGGTCTGTGCAAGACACTGAACAGTATTTACATAATTTTTTACCTCTGATCCACCGCAATGTCCAACTGTCCTGAGAGCGTTCACAACATCCGGCGCGTGACGTCAAATAATTACGTTTGGTCAAAAAATTCCACGTTGTCTGATGATATATCAAAATTGTCTTCCATTGTGATGACCTGTACTTCTAAATATCTTTATATCATCGCAGTGCCAGTGAACACGTCCGCAATCTCTCTGCACTGTGTAAATAATGAGTGACGTATACGCACGACAGATCGCTTCCGCACATGCGTCTACTATCATAGATATGTATAGATGCCCTATTCGACCGCTCCAGATACGTTGACGGGTCTGTCAATTTTGGAACGTATCGCGGCCCATAGAAACAGTCACTAATGAGGAATCTACTTATATATATATATATCTATGTCTACTATGCCAGAGCACGTACACGCGTCACGCGCCGGATGTTGTGAACGCGCTTAGACATTGCAGTGGATCAGAGGTAAAAAATTATATAAATACTGTTCAGTTTCTTGCACAGACAGATCGTTTCGTGTCTTAAGACCTCAATGTATCGCAGGGTTTAATTTGGTTTTGTCTGTGTATGTTTTTTTTACTCTCAAAGCCGTGGAGCCCATTGACTGTCATTATAAGACTGACAGACTGCAACGGTTTGAGTTAAAAATCTTCGTTTGTGTTCTACTGAAGAAACAAAGTCACCTACATCTTGGATGCCCTGGGGGTAAGCAGATAAACATCAAATTTTCATTTTTGGGTGAACTATCCCTTAAGAGAACCAGTTATTGTCTGTTTATATGACTCTGTCTTATCAGAAAAGCTCATGTCAGTCTGTCAATCATGTTTAGCTCTTTCCACGGCATGTGAGAGACCAGCGTGATGTAACCTGCTCATCCTCCTTTTCACTGGCAAACAAGAAGAACCTCCAATTGGGGCCGATCACACTCGGGATACACTTCGACACAGCTGAACAACCCAGGAAATCTCCATCCCATCACTATGGATCTGATCAATAACCGAGGACTAAACCTGCTGCTCAACTTCCTGCTTATTGTTGTGGCTCTACTGCTCATGCTTATTCTGGTCAAGCTCATGTGACCCGAAATGGCCAGAAACAAGAATTATTGGTATAAGAGGGACGTATGTTTCAGAGACTCCTACTCTCTCTACCTCCAAAACCAATTTAAGGTTCCTTACATGACCAGATTAACCTGCACTAAGAAAAAACTAAGAAGAAACAGTTATTTCAACAAAAAAACAATAAACAATTTACGGTAATTCACTGTAAATTATACAGTCTTTTTCACTTCCAAAAACGGTATACTACCGTAAAATTTATGTCCAATACATGTAATGTCCAATACATTTTTTCACCGTATATAGTAGGGGAATTTACCGTTAACCATTTAACAGGTTTTTACTGTAGCATTTTTACAGTCTTTTACCGTTAAATTCACGGTCATTTTTTACAGTGTGTGCAAAATGATTGACAGGCAGAGAATGTTTCTGATTGGCTAGTTTTCTGATGTAGACTTTTCCCCTTTCTATTTTTTTTTTCACTGTCACAGAGACTTTTTTTATTATTTCTCAGGGCACATATTTCACTCATTTGAATCAGATAGTAGGGACGTTTTGAAAGCCTGGTGTTAAAAATATCAGTTAACAACTTTAGCGTATGATACACGCTTTGCTAGAGCTTAATGGAGGAGTAAGGTATATGCTAAAAACTGATTTCCACTTCATCACTCACAAAAAAAAAATAAAAAAATAAAACATTATAAAAAATTCAAAACTTGATAGTCGATCAAAAATGCTGGTACACAGTTACCAAAAAAAAAAAAAACTGAGGCGTTAAAACTAGTGTCACTACGCCCTTTAGTGGTTGCTGCCTCTTACATCTCAAAACCAACAACAATTCCAAAACAATGGGATTTAGATCAAAATGAGATCTTTTTCTGTGAACAGCAGGTTTGGATTCAAGTACATGGTCAAATGAACTAAAACTGAAAACATAGATGAGCACTCAAATCACATGGCACACCACTGACAGTGACACTATTAAAAATCTGTATTTTTCCTGCAAAAAAAAAAAAAAAAAGCTGTGGATGTACTCCTAATAATAAATGGAAGGATATTATATATTATTTTCTGCAATCACTAAGTTCTTGTTCAAATCTGTGTGAATATATCTATGAAATACTTGTACTCATATATGGGAAGGAATTACTGTGCAGTGCAGGCATTTGAGAAATAAGACAATAAAAGCAAGTGCTGCGAATAAAACACTTACACTGATAACAATATGTGTCTCTTTGTGAGCTGAATAAGACATTTTGAGTCTCAAGCAAAGAATATCAAAGATATCAGCAAATATTGAAGTCCTGCAGAGTCCATTTGGAACAAACACTTGGTCTTTACCAAAAATAGACACCCGGCACAGGAGACCATAATCAACATGAAATCAATCTAATCTACTTTCTTAATGCATGATCATGGTCATATTGGGCATGATTGAACCGTGCACATTATTTCAATCATAACCTTGTTCTGTCTCTGAAATTACTTTTATTATCGTTTGACGTCAAGAATCCATCTTACTCTTCAACCCCTCCAACTACCAGGCTCCATTCTGGTAAGTACGGCTGTCGCGATTCGTCGACTTTATTCGACTATTCGATTTTTTAAAATCCTCGACTTCATTTTGCTCGCGTCGACTAACCGGCAAAATACCGGAAGTGGCGCATTTCACAGACGAGAATGTATAAAACACATTATTATTAAATCATAATTAAGCATAATTGTGAATTCACAAAAGCTACGATTTAATTAAATAATTACATGCGATGCAGTTCTAATACAGTATATGCGCTTTAATTATTTACATGCGTGTAGGTTATTAATCAAAAAGCCTGTCTAATGAATTGAGTTTCACAGTTTTATCTTTATCAAATTCTGTTTTCCATTATTTTCTGGATTCCATTTTAATGGTTCCATTAAATTTTTATAATCAAAAGCATCTCCAACTAATTGATTTTATTTATATAAAAAAAAATTTTTTTAAAGTTTTTTCTTCTTTTTTTTTTTCAGAAATACTGCACATTTACATTTTTCTCCTAAATAAATTCTGGTAAATAATATTTCTGGTAAATACTCCTTTAAAAAGTGTTTTTGATTATAATTGTATTATTAGTAGACTAGAACACGTGGATATGTTGTCATTCTTACACTATAATACTGAACTTTGATTTCAGTGATTTGGACTATGAGATGGACAGTTGCTTCTTGCATTTATGTTGCACTTTACTTTTGGATTTCATTTGGTTTAATGAAATATAGTTTAATAAAATATTCTTAAGTAAAATTGTAGATTATTTTGTTGTTGCGGGAAATTAACCGTTTAGATTAATCGATAAATTAGTCGATAGATTAATTGAAATAAAAATAGTCGTTAGTGGCAGCCCTACTGGTAAGTAACACAGTTTTTAGAGAATATACCTGATTCTAAAGTTTCACAGTGGTTTTATAGCATTAACTTAATTTCAATACAAGTTCAATAAAAGTTCAACTCTTCAGCATTCATCAGCATTTGAGACACGCTGGTGGTCATTAGCACAATCAATTAAATTCATCCCATTATACTCAATTTTAAATGCATAAAATATAAAAATTACAAAAGTATAACAAAAAATAAAACCTGAACTAAAATGAAATTAAAACAAAAACTAAAACATTTATTTAATAATGACTAGTAATAATTAATACATGCGATAATAGTATATAATTAATACTAAAATATTACTGGTGTGGATGTTATCTGAAACATCCCTTAAACACAAGTTGTATTTAAAAAAAAAAACACGAGTCTGATAAATGAAGCATATTTGCTGTAAACAGGACAATTCACCTACCACCGTCTGTCCAGCAGAGGGCGCTGTGAACCAACTTTTATAAAACATTTCTCCATGCATTTTTCCATCTTTGCATTCCCTGTTAAAGCAATTGCAAACTGACCTGTGGGAGTTCCGCTTCCTGTCGTAGTCGCTCTGGCTGCTGCTGTTCCTGCTGCCACGAGCCGCATCCCTCCGGTCCTGGCCGGTACTCCATCTGCTCGCTCAGCCACATCTGAGTCCTTACAGCCGGCTGGATGGGCGACCCTCCCACGGCCTGGTGCCTAAGCGTGGGACCTCTCTGCCCGGGCCCGGCCAGGCCGATGGTGGGCGTCTTGCTCTCTGGTAAGGCACTGTAGGTGAGGTCTAACGTGCTGGGCTTGAGCGGAGAGGAGCAAGACGAGTCAGTTTTCCCCAGGGTGTTACTGCTGCCCAGGTCGTACTTAGTAAAGTCAGAGTTGGTGGAAAGTTTGTGCAGGCTCTCAGAGAGAAAGCCGTCTGAATAAAGAGGATCCTGTCGGTAGCCATAGAGCACACCTCGATCCAGGGATCCGTGCGGGTCCATGCGGTACGACGGTCTCCCGGGAGGGGTGGACTTTTCCTGGCCGGTAAGACGGGTGAGGGAGGACCAGCGGCGCACCGGCCGAGGGTCTTTCATGTCCAGGGGGCTGTCGAGGGGAGAAGGGAGCTGGCAGCTGCTCCAGGGGCTGGTGGGGGCAGAGGGCACACTGAGTTTGGAGCTGGACGGAGATGGCATGACGTGGGCCGTGGGGATGGGCCCTTGCGAGCGCAGAGGCTGGAAAGACAATGTGCCGCTGGAGCTGGAGTGGTCTGGAGACAGACAGAAAGCTACATTTAGACTTTATTTTAGGCTTAACTAACAATGTTAATGCTTCTGCTAAGGTCAGGTGTTACTTGAAAACAGAACTTTAGTTTGAATGTAAACACATTCTGGGTGTCACTGCTTTGCTGTCAGTAGGAAAACAGGTAGCTGGCTTGTTATGGATGAAAAAGAGCACCCTCTACTGAGTGCAGCAATAAATTACAAGATCCACCTCCCTTAGTTTATTACCAACTCAAACAATACAATAGAAATTAACTACACATTTTCCTGAACAGCATAAACCCCAAGAATAAAATGAAATAGTGTTATAAATAAGTATAAAATAAATAAATAAATAAAAGTGTTATAAACAAGTGTTAAAAATGAATCGATATTATTCTTACAAGGGCTGAAATGAAATAAAATAGAATATAATAAAATCAGTGTTATACATAAGTGTTAATTATGATTGGACATTATTATTATGTGGGCTGGAAAGAGTGAAAATAAATAAATAAATAAATAAATATGTTGGATATTATTCTTATTAGGGCTGAAATGAATAAATAAATAAATAAATGTTAAAAATGATTGGATATTATTCTTATAAGAGCTGAAATAAAACAGAATAAAATAAGTGTTAATTAAGATTGGATATTATTCTTATGTGGGCTGGAACGAGTGAAAACAAACAAACAAATAAATAAATAAATAATAATGATAAAATAATTTAATATTATTATTACCGGTATGTAGACTGAAATGAGTGAAAATAAAAAACAAAATAAACAAAACAATAGTGTTATAAATTAGTGTTAAAATGACTGGATATTACTCTTATGAGGACTGGAATGAGTGGAAAAAAAAATGTAAAAATGGGGAAGAAAAAAATGTTTTTTTTTTGTTTTTAAATAAAATGTTCAATTAAGCAGTCATGTGGATAAAAACTGAATATACTGTGCATCAGACAGATGAGACAAATGCTTCTCACACTCAACTGAAAAGAGAAAAGTCTCATTTGAAAGAGTGGAAGTGAACAGTGTTTTTTCACCCTGTTTTTAACGCCCTTGTCTGAAAGGTATTACACAGAAACGTTTGGCGTGACAAGCCTCTGATGATTACACGAAATGAGACATACTGGAACACAAATGAAGTATTTCACATTCCATTCGTATTCTTCCTGAGAGACTAGAATGACTGAAAGTAACTGGATGGAGATGACCTAATACTGACCCTGCCCACAGTCCTCCAATATCCCATCATGCACTAGGGGATTCCCCCGATCACATAGCCTCTCTTTCATGCTTTAAAAACAAAAACACAAACTCTGTGAGAAAACACGTCATGATAAACAGTGACTGAACTCATCTGACTGTGAGTCACTGCAGGAGAATAACACTCATCAAACATACTATTCTTATATAAGACTATCAGACTTCAAACCTATGATGATTTGATTCAAAGCAATATATATATTGTTGTTCGAGCATATTATTAA